CTGAGGCGGCGCGGCCCAACTCTGCTGTCCGGGCCGGACCTTGCTCCTGCGGCTTCTCGGAGCCGCCCATGGGGACGGGCCGGGGGCGAAGCGGGGAACGTGGCGGCGCCAGCGCGGGGAAGTGCTGCCCGCGGAACTTCCGCGCAGGAAAGTTTGACCCGCGCTGCGTGTGTTGGCTCTCCGGGCCCCAAGGTGCGGGTGGCTGCGGCCCCCACGGGCTGAGCCAGAGTTGCGGGCACGAGCCTGCAGCGCCCGGCCCGCCCTACCGCAGACTTACTCTACGGGTTTTTTTCTGTGGTCAAAAACGCGTGTGAAAACGAAGAGCTGGGAAGCACTGTCCTAACCGGAGAGAGCTTGGCAGTTAGGTGTAGTCCGTCCCATAGTCTAAATACCTCTTAACAGTATTTTGGTAGGAAATTATTGACCTACCTCATTGGCTTGAACCCATGACAGTTAGGGGCAGGCTACATGCAGACTCAGGTGCCTCCAGCCAGCAGCAACTATCCTGAGCTTTGCAGCCACCTTTGAGTCTGTTCTGGGCATTTGCTAAGTGTCTGGCGATTGGACTTCTGCATCTGGAAATGGCTTTTATTTTCTGTGTTTAAAATTGTTAAATGGAATAATTTCTTTCCTAGTTACAGCTTGTCTCCACTGAACAGCCATGTTTCCAGCCAAACTGAACCAAAGCTCAGAGGAAACAAAAACAAGATTTGTTTTTTAGTTGCTTAACATGTTGCAAAGGGGGGGGCGGGATAGATGCTTGTAATTGATTTTGAACAGGGTGGTCTTCAGTTGGACGTTTTAGCAAAAATCACTTTAGAAATGACAAACAGAAAGAGAAGAGCTCTTAACTTTCAGAGGAGCTCTAAATGTTTTGCTAGTATGTGTTTATGTATTGTATGCATTTATCAACTGTCCAGTTCAGGGCGCTTAAGCAGATATTTTGATAGTCTATGCAGGTTTTGTAAGTTAAGTGTCTTGTATTTGGATTTCGGTTCAAACTGTTATTTTGCATCACTTTTTTTGTTGAAAGAAACCACTGATACTGGTAAAAATTAAGTTCCTCTCTAGTGCAACTTCAAAGTAACTGCACCAAGAGTTCTATTGTATGGGTATTTTTATAGATACTGAAAAATCCAAATGAAAAAAGTGCACAAGTGTCTAGACTGCAACTTGTCTAAGAGTGGCAGACTTAAGCTGATTAGGTTCTTCCTTTTTTTAAGCATGGAAGGGATGGTAGTTCCCTGGCTGCATGCATCAGTTAACTGTAGTGGCTATAGGTGGCTTCTTAAACTGTATGTAACAATATTTTTTTTCTTTATTTTGTAGAACGGTATGTTGGACTTTGTGTTTGCTGTGGATGATTCTGTGACTTGGCACATGATGAATTTGTTAAAGAATAAGAGTCATTATTCTTTCCTAAAATTTTTGGGGCCAAAACAAATAAGTAATATACAGAACTATGGAGCTGGAATTTACTACAACACTTTAGTGCCTTTTCATGGTAGGGTAAGTATAACAGCCTGGGAGTGGGATAATTTAGATATTTGTATTGTAGAGTATTGGATTTACTAAGTCAAGGTCAGTTTTCTTTGGAAAAAATAGAAATTATTATGTAAATGTGAACTGAAGATGTAATTGATTTTTGGCTGATATTTACAAGCTTACATAAAACCCTTGTTTGCACATAGTGGGCACTTCAGCACACATGCTGGGGCACATGTTTCCTGTGGAACAGATAGCAGCGGCACACGTTTGTCCCCAGGCATGCACGCTCTGATATGCGGCAGTGACCCAAGTGGGGTAGGGGAGTTTGGGGCCAGCATTTGTCTGGGGTCCTGGGGGTCTCCTGGGACATCAGCGGCACTAGTGAGCGCATCTATATGTGCACTTTACTGTGGAGTTGACTAATTAGCTACTCAGTAAAGCTTCACCATCCGCACGTGTTCCAGTATTGGAGCACAGTAAATTAATTAACTCCATCATAAGACAATACTATCTTACGGCATAGTGATTAACTGTGATCAAATGCCCATGTGGATGGTGACCGCTGGGTGCAAATTGCACCCTGTCAGTTCAGCCAGCTGGGGGACAGCCCCTCTGAATTCCAATTCTGCTGCCTGGAGCTGACCCTCTGTGCTCCCTGACAGCCCAGGGCTGCTCTGCCCTAGCTCTAATTGCTGCAGCCCCAGGCACGTGTGTAGACACTGTGCCTGGGAGCAGTTAACTTGGGTGCGAACTGCTCCAGAGTTTTTATTGAGTTGCTTTAAAGCATGTGTAGATGCACCCAGTATGCTTAATCAGTGTCTGAAGCTGTTCTACCAAGTAATGTGTGATTTGTTGGTTGGCAAACAGCAGGCAATGTTGTGATTAAAAAAAAAAAAAAAAAGTCTCATAAATAATGTGAAAATGTTACAGACTAATAACTGGATTTATATTTCAGTTCATTATGGCAGGACAGGTATTATATTGCCACTTACAGAACAGAAAGACAGACCTGAATTCAGTGAATGACCAATTCACAGAACAGGGTAGATAATTGTTTCCATTTATATGGATACCAATATGAAAAAAATTAGACCTGACCACTTGTAATTGGCATCTGTATTATTTAACTTCTAGTGCTCTCTTCTATGGGTATTGGCTGTAATTAAAAAATCATAGAAGTGGTATTTGCTTTTCCTACACACCGGCTTTCAAGGTTTTTGTGTTGAGGGATGCATGTGTATGTTTACTTCTTATCTCCTCAATACTGAGTTTGAGACACTGTCAACTTATAACTACAAGAAAATAAAATTTCATCTTTTTACTAAAAGCAGAAGATGTAATTAAGGATGCCGAAAAGCTGTTTTCTGCCATCTACAAACTTACAAAGGAAAATTGGGTTTGAAGTCCAAGATTGAGCAAGGTATAAATGGTTTTACATCAGAAAGCCACCTCCTAATCTGGGGGTAGAGAGGCAGATATAGGCATTCTTAATGTACTTGTGAGTTTAAGGGACTTGGGTAAGATAAGAATTTGCAGCATGATCCATGTCCTTTCAACCTTAAATGGGTTTTAAATATTTGAACTCAGAGTAGAATCAAGCCTTTGATAAAGTTATGATTCCTACCCTTCCCTTTTGATTTTTTTCCTCTGTTGCAGTAAAGCAGTTGCTGCATTTTCTTGCTTATCACACCTCCCAATGATACGTGCACTTGGTTTTTGGATGGCAGAATATATGGAAAAGAAAACCCATTTTTTGAGAGTCGTGGCTGACTGAGACAAAGCTCTAGCCCTCCTAGAAACACCGAGGCTACTGACAAACGTGAAAAAATAAAACGGTGCTTTACTGAGAGACGAAGCCCATTAGTTCAGCCTCGCTCTCCAGCATCTGTATAGATTGGGGGCTTCAGTGGGACTTTGGCGCTTTTATCTGAAGCTGATTCAGTCAACTATTAGGTAAAAGTGCCAAAGCGCCCCATTGAAGCGTGCGGTCTATACAGAGGTTGGGTGACTCGGGTCATACTAACACAATGCCTCTTTTGGGCATCCGCTGGGCTCAGTGCAGGGGTGCATCAAGTTGAAAGTAATGTGCCGGGTTTGTCTGTTTCTTTTTTTGTCTGTAAGCAGACTGTGTCCAGGAAGTGTGGCATTCCAGGAGACAGTTTGGGTAAGGCAGCAGAACAGCAACAAGACTAGGCCCCAGACTCTTGCAGGGTTAGTAGAAAGACTTACTTTTTTACTGTTCTTTATAGAAGTGAACCAATGTATTGGTGCACCTCTATTGGATTGGCACCAATATAAAGACATTTGTATTGAAAATTGGCTTGATTTGGCTGATAAATGCCAGTGCACGCCTGCAGCCGCAGCACAGCACTCGGGCAGCAAGGAGTGCAGCCTGGCAGCTTGGAGAGCTGCATACAGCTGGTAAGTCTGTAGTGCTGGAAGGGTAGTGGGGAGGAGATCAATGCACCCCATGGTGAGGGAGGGCCTGGGGCAGGTTCCACCCAGCTGGGGCAGGACGTAGCTGCCATTTGTCCAGAGGGTGCGGGGAGGGGAGGTCAGCTCCTGCTGCTGTGAGCCCCCCGAAAAGGCATGGGAGGGTGCTCCATGGATCTGCGTGGGTGGGGTGAGGGGGGCTGCTACTGCAGGCTGGGGTTGGAGCTGCACTCAGACCAGGTAGGGGTGCTGGGAAGGGAGGCTTTGGGGTGGCTGCAGTGTCCCGTCCCCCCGCCCCATCTGTATCCCCCTTTCCAGCGCTGCTGCCTAGCCCAGCCCGGCGCAGCCCTGGCCCAACCTGCAGCTACAGCATGCCCCATGCAGATCTGGGGGCACACACCACCCTCCCGGGGTGCATGCAGCAGCAGGAGCCACCCTCCCCATGCCCCCCAGATGAGTTATGGCTCTGTCCCGTGCCCTGCCCCAACCCTACTCCCTCCCTCACCTTGGGGGGGCCTTGATCTGCCTCCCCCCATGCCCCTCCCCTCCCCTTCCACCATAACAGACTTACCAGCTGCACGCAGCTGTATCGGAAATCTGATCGCTATTGGCCAATATGCTGCCTCAAAAATTAGCTATCGACCCCCAAAATCTCTATCGGTGCACCCCTAGTTCTTTTATATAAGTTCTTATAAATGAAGTGTCTTTTTTCCATGCCACAAGCCTCATCATGATACTACAGACTGCACAACAGCTCATTTATCCTGAACCAGCTCAATTGCTGCTTTAGGTATGGCTGCTGGAGGGCTGATTTTGGTCTGGTAGGGGCAGGGAGGTGCATGTGTAGTACACAAGTATATTTCAGTCTCCATTCTTGTCTTGTCCAACCATTCTGGAGTCAGTTGGTTTGACCAAGTGGAACTTAGACACTTTGTATGAAAATAGTTTGCAGCTTATTTAATTTAAGTGTGTTGGCAATGGAAAAGTAGCAGTTTTAGGGGTTTTTTAAACAAAAAAGAAACCTTAAACTTTAAGGCATAAAAGTACTTTTATGTTAGAAAAAAGCCATGGAGAGAACAATTCATCTCTAGGAGAACTGAGTGTAACATAACTGTTTTCTGGTACTTGTGAGCCACAATTTCACTGACAACAACTTTTAGTTCTTTTTTTTTCTTTTTTTTCTTCTTTTTAATAATATATCACTCAGTTTTCTCCAGGGTCTAGAGATGTAAAATTTCAGAAATTTTGAGGCCGTGGAAAACAACTTTTTTTTTCCAAATAATTAAAAAAAAAAAAAAAAAATGGGGGGAAAATTGAAATATATGCAATACTTTTTTCTTAGCACCCTTTACAAATCTAAATTCACGTTGCTACTTTAAGAACATAAAATGCATTATGTATAATTTGGTTGGATCATAAAATTATTGTGTTTGGTATATTTATTAAATTTAAACGTATAGTTTATTCAGACAATCATTACAAATTTACTATGTGAATTTACTTTAAAATGCTTTTAATTTTTGTTACAAATGGAGCTACAAGCTGCTGAACTCTAAGGAACCTTGTATCTCTTAGGTTTTGCCAGTTTGTGAGAAGCAGGCAAAAATTAAAGTTGAAAATAGAAGAAACCATCAACATTGTAGTAAAACAAAGAAAGTTATTATATATCCTTGACCTAGTCTCCACCACAGTGTCAAGCAGATACAGAAAGCACTCATTTTTAGAAAAAATGCTGAGGGGGGAAAAAAAAACCCTCAAGACTCATTGAATACGAATTTTGCTATATGAAACTTTGTCTAATCAGTCTCATTTTCTGAGCTATCACTATCAGCAGTTTGTGATTCTTCTGATGCTTCATTTTTATCATCTTCACGGACTTCTGAAAACCGAAAGTTTGCCTGGATTGAGACAGGCTTCTCTACTCTTTCACATGTTAGTTTAGTTCTTGATTTGGTGTGTTTCTAATTCACATGTTAGTTTAGTTCTTGATTTGGTGTATTTCTAAACAGACCAGTTTTTTTCACGTGCTGCAGAAGATGAAGGAATCTGAAGCAGAAGAGAAGCAAGAAGAATCATCAAGTGTTCCTTACATTTCTGGGTACTTTAAGATCCTCAGTTATTACTGTTTCTTGAAGAGCTTCTTCGTGGTTTTTTTTTTAGTAGATTTTCAAATAAGATCACCACTTCACCCCATCTAGTTTGACTGCAGAGTTTGAGTGTCACTACTTTATTCTTTGCATTCTTTTCTTCCTGCTTTTTCTTAAAGACTGCAGCTACAATACGAGTAGCTTTTTATGTTTTATAACTTCTTTTGCTCTTCTGTAGATCTTTTGCAGAGTGTCCAACTTCATGATGTCATTAAGAAGCAAGTTTAGCCCATGGGATGTACATCCTGTTGCAGTAATATGTGGATATTTATTCATTAATAGCCAATTCCCCATCAAGAATGATGGCGGGGAGTGGGCAGGGATGGAGCCCTGTGCCCCACCCCCCAGCCACCCTGCGTCAGGCCCAGGCCCAAGCCCCCCTCCCCCCCTCCCCCCCCCGCTGCCGTTGCATTGGCCCGGGCCCACTCGTTCCTTCCTGCC